CTTTTAGACATTACTTCCTCTGAGTGTGTTTTATTTTGAGGTTCCATCTGCATGCTAGGCCACAGAGAAATGTCTGCAACTGGTTCACCTTAGAGTACTGCTTCAGAAGAGGATATGGCTCCACAAAGAGGGACCTGAACCACCTCCTAGCTCCACCACTACTGTAGTCAGTTAATTATACTGTAATTATGGAAATAAAAGTTTTTAGAATTTGTGTGTGTGTGTGTGTGTGTGTGCAGGGGAGGAGTATAAGTCAACCCTAACAAGACCCAAACAAACAAGAAGTCTTTAGGACTGAGGTGAGTGCTAAGTCAACCATGTAAGACCCCACCCTAAGGGTCAGCTCACCATGTCTTTCTCCTGATTTGCTCTAACCTGATCTTTGTGTAGCTGTGTACAGAGGCACCAGAGAGCCAGCCCAGTGTCTACCCAAGTCACAAAGTAGGCACAGTCATCAGGATGGAAATGAACCATCCTTGAGTTCAAAGCAGGAGAATCATGACCTCTGGATATCCTGCCAGGATACATAGGATCTAGGGATCTTAAGAACCCCCTACTCACCTCATTGGAGACTGCCGACCAGCTGAGTTCTCCAAGCCCTCCCAGCTCATCCTGGATGGCAAAGCAGTGTCACCCTGTCCTATGTCTGCCTCCAATGTCAGGATGGTGGCCAGCGTGGAACAGACAACTTTTTATTAGGGTGGCAGCCTCAGAGTAGTTGCTAAGGGTCTCATGACCCCTGGCCAATTGTCTTTCCTTCTAATCCACTGTATATACAGTTCCCATCTGATTGTGGGCATGATGAGCCTAAGGAGGTGGTAGAAAATAAAAAAGGTTAGAGCCAAGGCAGAAGGCCACGTAACCTGAGGATGCCCTAAAAGTTCCCATGCATGTACTGCCCTTTCAGTACAGACCGCTGACATCGGGGTCTGAGCCATGCACTTTGGCCTCACCCCAGGTGATGGAGGAAGGTCATTGGCTAATAAAGAAACTGGCTTGGCCCATTTTATTGGTTAGGACATAGGTGGGTGGAGTAAACAGAAGAGAATGCTGGGAGGAAGAGGAAATGAGGTCAGAAGTAATGCAGCTCCTCTCAGAGCCAGACGCCTCAGACAGAGGCATGCTCCGCTCTCCCAGGCAGATGCACGCAATGAAGCTCCTCCGACCCAGGATGGATGTAGGCTAGAATCTTCCCGGTAAGCACACCTTGGGGTGCTTATACAGATGATTAGAAATGGGCTAAATTAATATGTGAGAATTAGCCTAGAAGTGGCTAGATAGAAATGGGTCAAGCAGTGTTTAAATGAATACAGTTTGTGTGTTGTTATTTCGGGCATAAGCTAGCCAGGCGGCCGGGGTGCTGGGGACGCAGCCCCGCCGCTCCTATTTCAACACCCAGGCTCTCCACCATGAACTGGAGGAGTTAGCTTTAAAGGACTTGAGACAAATCCTGCAAGGATGGAAGGTTGTCTTCCCAACAGCACGTCCAGTATCTACATGTTCTTACCTCCTCAATTCTAGAGACGAGCTGGTGGAAAGGCCAGAGTTAGGAATTCTGGATGTCCCTCACAGCCCGGTAGTTCTGCACGCACACGTTGTGCCTGCATTTACTCTGAAGGGAAGGAGGACACCTAGAAAGGGCTGAGGGGATGCACTGTGGTCACACAGCAAGTCATTCTAGGCCTCCAACCCTTGCCTTCCCATGAGACCAGCAGAACAGGCCCCCTCGTAGTGCTGGTTCACACAGCTGAGGGAACTTATCCAAAGTGAAGGTGCTCTTTGGATCTCTGGGCTGGAATCTTTGAATTCCCGGGCATCTCTCAGCTTCCTTTCCAGGTTTCTTTGTCCCTTTGTTTCTTAGGAAACACATGGAGGTAACTGCACCCAAGAGCAGCCAATCCCCAGGGAGGCCTGCACTGTTCCTCACAGAAGGCAGCCAGTAAACTGTTCCAGCAGTGCCACTTGTTCCCTGGTAGAAAACCCTGTTCCAGAAGGTCCCACCGAAGTAGAGAACATGGACATGGGGCCTGTCCAGGACATTTCCCAAGACTCTATCTATGATACTCAGGAAGTTTTGAGGAGTGAATATGGGAAACACAGGCCTCTTCTGAGCCAGCCCGGTATCAATGATAGCAGCCTACACTTGTCCCAGGAACCCAGGAGGCACATTTGGGTCCAGCAAAGATTTAAGAGTGGGCCCCAGGAGTCCTCCTGGTACAAGTGCCGAGATGATGATGCCGAGTGACCAGGCGGCAAGAATGGAGCTGCCACCGTCAGCCCTGTCAATGCTCGTGGATATGCTCGGGGCTTGGAGAGTCTCACAGAGACTCCTACAGGAATTCTGACCGACAGATCCCAAAAAGATCTCTACAAAGTCCAAGATATATAGCCCACACCAAGAAATATCCGAGGGCTCTAGAAAGCTACTTCCAGAGACCTTCATGGTTCAAAACAGAGATCCCCAAACATCTCAATTGTAGATGGAAGTTTCTGGCCTGCCCAGTTATGCAGCTGTTCAGTCCCAAAGAAACACAGAGGGCTATAATTATAAACTATCTGGCCTATTAGCTCAGGCTTATTACTAACTATGTCTTAATTTAACCCTTAATTCTTATCTGAGTTTAGCCCTGTGGTTTGGTACCTTTTCTCAGTAAGGCATTCTCATCTTGCTTCCTCTGCTTCTGGATGATGACTGTGTCTCTATCTTTCTTTCTGGGAACCAGAATTCTTGTCTGGTTACTTCACCCATACTTCCTGCCTGGCTACTGGCCAATCAATGTTTTATTAACCATATATGTATGTGTGTGTGTGTGTGTGTGTATACAAGTGGCAAATGTTTACAGAGTTCAAGAGCATTATCCCACAGCACTCCACAGAGACTTCCACAGAGAACCCCACAGAAGGAGGTTGCTAGAGTCCCTGGCAGAAATTTACATATTGAGACCCCAAAACCTGCAAACAGACACTTTCACAGACTTCCCCAGCACAGAAACCACACACATCCTTCAAGTCCCTGACTGTATCCCACACTGACAGTCTACAGTTCCAGTCACTCTGACAGACCCACACACATATCCATGCAGATTTCAGGAGATGTTCACAGACACCACAGAGTGAAAGACAGCAGTGACTAATAAGATCTGTGCCGGCCCTGGGAGAAGTCCACAGAGACACATCAAGTTCCCTCCAGGGGGACTGTCATTGTCATCTACATACAGATCCCCAGAATCCCACCCAGCCCTCCACAGGCACGCACAATGAAACCCACACGCAGACCTTTACAAAGACCTTCACAGAGAGACATCACCCAGTTTCAGAAACACACAGAAATACCCTACAAAGATCCACACTGAAGCCCTGATAAAGACCCCCAAAGAGACTTCTGATGGTGGATACATCTTAGAACATGCAAAAGTCACAAACCTCAGAAGCCTCACAGAGTTTTCAAAGAGACTTTTGATAGAGACACTAAGGGAGACCTCAGAAACTTCTCAGAGCCCTAAGGTATAGATGTCACTTGGTGGCCTCTGGGTGCCACACAGCACTCCCTCATAGAGATATCACCCAGCCTTCCAGACCTCACACAGCACCCTCAGAAAGACAATCATAAGCCCCTCAGACCTCTCATGACACACGAAGCTCATGCAGACTCCAGAGACCTCGCATCATCCCTTGGAGTTCCACACAGAACATCTAGAAGTCTCCCAGAGAGATCCCATGGAAAGACCTATTGAAAAGTCACACAAAGTCTCCAGGGGAGATGGCAGGCAGATTGTCACCAGGGCCTCATGCAGCCCCATGACTCAAGAGGGACACTGAGATGGACTGCTTGGGGAAGACACTGGCCTGATGGAGGCTCTGAGGAGAGTTAAGGTTCCATGCCAGAGAGAGCATAATGGTGTTGGGGGAGGGCACTGAAGAGAGGGCTCCAACTGCAGACATAGGGGGTTCTCCTCATGCTTTTTTCATTATGAGGGTGTCTTCTTACCTAACATTGGAAAATTTAAATAAAATATAGGTAACCTACTGTTTAATAGAATGTTATTCCATAATTCTCATTAAAACACAAGTAGGAAAGCTTTATTAAGGACCATAGAAATAGGTCGAGGGGTCATAGTAAGCTCAGAATTAAGAGAAAGATTACCCTCTTTGAGCCCCCACTGACACAGGTAGGGAATATTAGAACCAAAAAGCAGGTTGGAACTCTGTACGTGTAAATTCCCAATGCATAACACATTTTTCAATGCAAAATAAATCCTTTTTGGGGCAGTACCCACTTGTGATTCCATGAGGGCTATTATGTAACTGGGAGACCTAAATCTCCAATTACATCTTCCATAGCTTATATAAGAAGTAGTTCCTTGTAAGTTCAACTGAAGTTAGTAAGTTTGTTTTTAAACAAAAGTTTTTCTATTTAAATAACATAATATGAAAATGGTTAGAAGTATATTTAAAGCTGGGCAGTGGTGGCACAGGTCTTTAATCCCAGTACTCGAGGTAGGTGGATCTCTGTGAGTTCAAGGCCAGCTTGGTCTACAAGAGCTAGTTCCAGGACAGGCTCCAAAGCTACAGAGAAACCCTGTCTCAAAAAAGCCCCCCCCCAAAGAAGTATATTTAAAATAATCATAATTTCAAAATTTCTGAGAACTCCTAAGAATTCTGATTTATTTAAGTCACTGAATCTTCAGGGACAGCACCAAGGGAATTTGAAAACACTGAAATAAGCTTCTTTTCATTCTATATTGTAATCCTAAAATGAATTACTGTTGCTGAAAAAACGTACTTGCAAAAATTTAAATTAATGTTGCTGGAAGGATTCAGCTGTGTCCTTCAGGATCTTGCTGCAGGCAGACCAGGTGTGCAGAGTTTACCTGGGGCGTGCTGGAGGAGACTCTCTATCAGATATGGAGGGCTACGTGCTCACCTGGCTTGTCAGGACGTTTTCCTGGAACTGCAGGGTATTGGGAAATGGGAGGACAGAATTTGCCGTAACTCAGAGATCCAAGCACTGTTTGTTCAGTTTTGTCCCACAGTTTCCGTGACTTGCAGTCAGGCTATGTGCTCCTCTCTGACTTCAGTGTTATCCCCTGTTTCTCACACATTTATAAACTTCTTGGTGTGAACTTTGATTTTGTATTCATTGTGTAGTGTAGGGGAGACAAATACCAAACCCATCTTCACCAGACACAGGGGAAGAAAACGCATGTTGTGAAGCAATAAATAGACAAGAAAAGCAGGCTGTGGCCATGGATTCAAACACTAAACAGTCTCCGGCGGCAGGTAAATGGTGACACAGGATTTGGGACCCACTCTATCTCTTAATGCCCCTATTTTCCATGCTGTTATAAGGGCAATTCACATTTCAACATGGCTGTGGATGGAGACAAACGCTTAACCCATAGAAGGAGGTAAGTTCATGCACACAGAAAAGACAATGTTGAATGGAAGGTTTAGGAAAATAAAGTGGACGATTATTGGTTAATGAGAACAGTGTCACTGAGATCTGTATCAGTGTGATCTTCCCTAACGCCACTGAGCTGAGCACCCACCTTGGCTTAGCTGGGAACTTCTTACTACACAGAGAGTGATGATTTAGATTATGCTTCCTGATGGGGGATCAATTTAACCTCAAGCAGAAATTAACGTGGGTGCACAATGATTCCGCTTTTATAGAACAAGTCAAAATATGATTTTAAAAGAAATCATATAATAAATTAATTGACTAAGATCTATAATGAATACATATTTATATAAGTAGGAAAATCACAAGCTTTATTACATTTGGGGCTGCGTTCCTTACTTCCTGAACTGTAGGAGCTAAGATTTGCATACATACTTTTATCAATTAATGTTTTTAACCTATCTAAAACCTCCTGAGTTCTCTTTCTCTTATATTCGGATATTAAGGCTCATGAAGGTAAGTGTCTAGAACTAACTCCCAGAAGGAATATTGAGAAGAGCAAAAAACAAATTGCAAAGAGAAAATTGGAAGCTGTTTCCCAAAGACCTCAGCCGCTTTTCTGCATTCAGTATCCACGCTTTTTCTGCAAATGACTCAGATTTCATGACTTAATTGGCTAAAGACAGAGAAGAGGAACAATGGTTGGATGAGGAGAGAGGACAAAGTCGTTCCAAATTCCAGGCAGCGTCAAGAGACCTGGTACCCCATCTGTACCCCATCTGTTGGTTTTCCCTCCTCGGGTTGACTTTCACCTTCCCAAACATGACCAGAGATGGTCTTCTGTTGAGACTCTTCTGACATCTCCCCAATACTGAAGTCAACGTGCTCTGGCATCTGTATGCACATAGGGCCCAACCTTAGCTTAAACAGGAAACACTGTCCTGGAGTGTTGTGACTCAGTCTATTCCAGAATATTTTACCAAACCATAGTTTCTAAAGTAAAATCAATGTTGGGTTAACCTTAAACATGGATTTATTTGGGAGCTTTTTTATTGTTAAACCCTCCAAGCACATTGTCAGGATTCAAGGTCCCGAGGACGATTTGTCATGTTGCCTAGCAGTAACACTTTACAAATTGTCCCACGCCATGAGGAGATGGGATCAGTTATGCAATGCATTCCTGGAGGTCTGAGGCCTAGAGGGCTAATATACCTACTGACACATCCACTTACAAGCAGGACAGGACTCAGAGGTGGGGCTTCCTAGGCAAAGACCCAGTTGTTAAAGTCTCAGGGAGATGCAGTCAGATAGCTCTGTGGAACTCAAAGATCTCTGAAACTCAAGTCCATGAAGGGCATCTGAGGAGCAGCAGACATCCCAGGTGATCCCACTAGGCCAGGGAAGGTAGATCGGGAGCTCACACTAGAGGAGAGTCCTGGGTAGACTCCTGAAGGAAGTGGGCACATTCCTCAGGAAGGACATCTCTTCAACCTCTCCATGGGATCTCACTGAGGCAGTGAAATGGATTTTTCAGTCACTTTTCAAGTAAAGATAATAGAAACTAATGCATGTTGTATATAATGTATGTATCTATGACTGTATACAGAGACTGTTTCCAAAAGATTTCTGAAGGGAATGGACCAAGACATCTGCTGCATTCAGGCCAAGGAAAAGATTTCTTGTAGCCCCCAACTCTTGGGGTTGTATCTCTCCCTACTTGGGATCATATTCTGCACTAATGAAATTTTGCTCATGTGACCTCAGCACCACCAACACAAAGCCTGGGCCAACTATGTCTTAAGTCTTTAAGAGTCTAAACCATAGGTGTATGCACACCCTGTGATGATCTAGGTTCACAGTTCCTGGAGCCTGGCCAGTTGTTCTTCATTTTAGTGGATAAACCAAATTCCTCTCTTTAGGCCAACAGAATCTTAACTTTTTCCACAGTGTATTATTTAGGACAGTTCAAATGATTTCCTTCCACCATTATGGTTTTAATTTCTAGGTATGAAATTAAATTTTCAGAAGCACTGATGTAATTGGAATCTCATCTCTTCTCCTCTAGGTTTATGAGACATGATTGCTGTTCTCTTCTTAGCCGCCCTCTGCTTGGAAGTCGACTCAGCTTTTACCACACTGGGTCCCAGTTTGGATGCTGAGTGGCAGGAATGGAAGACAAAACATGGGAAAACATACACCATTGTTAGTGACATGGAAATTCCCGTAGATGATCACCCTGCCTTTGCGTTTTTATGTATTTGTGTCCTCTGGCCATACCATAGGTTCTGGAATCAAGCTCTATTCAAGCCTTAACCTAAAGACATGCACCATGTGTGCTAGGTGACAAAAATCCCCGTTGCTCTTGGGAGATGTGGACAATGGCTTCCGGAAGAGTACAACCATCTATTGCCACAGCTCCTCTTCACCAGAATGTCCTGAGTGAACTTGGGTTGGACTTAAAATAAAAGGAAAAATCACAACTTGTATTTTTTTTTCCAGAATGAAGAAAGTCTGAGGAGGACAGTGTGGGAGGAGAATTTTAAAATGATTGAACTGCACAATCGGGAATACCTCAAGGGGAAGCATGACTTCACCATGGCCATGAACGCCTTTGGTGACCTTGTGAGTGCGACATGAATAACATCACATAGTACTTCTCCTCTTCAGTTCTTTATAAATACCCTCATTCACGTGTGGCCTTTCTTGAAGACCGATACAGAATTCAGGAAAAGGATGACTGGCTTTCAACGGCAGAGGATCAAGAAGAGGCACACATTCCAGGATCATCTCTTTCTGTCTGTCCCCAGATCTGTGGATTGGAGGGAACGAGGCTACGTGACCCCTGTGAAGAACCAGGTATGGCCATGTGATGTCCTCAATATCCCCTACTCACAGGCGGCTAGGAAAGAAATGCCCCCTTTGCTTTTTCAGACTGTGGAGCAGCATGCAGTTCACTGCTTTATAAAAGTATTCTGATGTACAAATCATTCACAAATTATCCGTTATTAGACTCACTAATGAACGACGGCTTTTTCTTCATTCCTTAGGGTCACTGTGCTTGTAGTTGGGCTTTTAGTGCCACTGGAGCCCTAGAAGGACAAATGTTCAGGAAAACAGGGAGACTGATCCCGTTGAGTGAGCAGAACCTGCTGGACTGCATGGAATTTAATGTTACCCATGGCTGCAGTGGTGGCTTCATGCAGCATGCCTTCCAGTATGTGAAGGACAGCGGCGGCCTGGCTTCTGAGAAGTCCTATCCTTACAAAGGGCTGGTGAGTAGAACTCCCGTGCTCTTGTCGGTCCAGCTCCGGCTGTGGAAAGCAGAACAATCGCAGAGCAATTCGCTCTCTTCAAACTCGCTTTGTTACTGATTTGCCTTTTCACTGCCGGAGAACTACACGCAAGCATATAATGTGCCTTGACCAAGTCTATACCATTCCTTTGCCTCTAACTCCTCCTCTATCACCCCCAAACACTCTTCCTTCCCAACTTCCTGCACGCTTTTGTTAAGCTCACTAAGCCCACATCATACTGTGTGTGTGGACAGGATAGGACCATTTACTGGAGCGTAAGTGAACGCTCAGGCCACGTCCCTAAGGCAACACTCTTCTCCTACAACAGCTCTCAGTTGCCGATAGTTCTACAGCTGGGGGAGGCGGGACTTCATGACCCTTCCCATTGTCCATGTTGGTATTTTGGCAGGGTAGATCTTGTGTAGGTCATGTGTTTAAAGTCATGAGTCTGTGAGTCTGCAATGTGAATTTTCAACAAGGAATGCTGTGGACCCGAAGAGCAAAAACCCCTAAGGATCCAGAGTGCCTCTTGTGCTGAGTTTGTATCAGGGGCAACTATGTACAAAGATACTATACAATCATTAAACTGTGTTTGCAGGGAATAAAAGTTTAGTTAATAGATTACCAGGAGGAACAAAAACCAGGAAATAAAGGTAGAAAAATATACGGAAACAAACAGACAAAAATCTTATACCTCTTAAGAAATAGCACATTTCCAAACCCTGGATGTGGAAATGGCTCTTTCCCAAGTCATTTCTCTCTGTCATTAGTATGCTAAGGGCCAGAGCTCCTTCTTTCTCAGACGATTCTGTTGGCAGAAAAGCACGGGCAGAGAGCTCTGCTAGTTCCCAGCCAGCCTGGGTTGTGAATGTGCTGAGTTTCATTGCTAGCCAAGGCTGCATAGTAAGATGCTGCCTCAGAACCAAACCAGACAAGAAAGCATTTTACAATTTGATGAAAAATATTGCCAAATGCATGGAATCATTGATTGCTGTCCTTCTAAGGTTAGAATGGATGGGTGTCTTCAATACATTTTACATGAAAAAAGTGAAGAAGTCAGAGGAAAGTCAAAACTAATCTGAAAAAAAAAATGTGTGCCCAGTGTGCATCCACAGAACTCAACCCTTTCATGCTTCAGAAAGATAATCTCCCAGTAGAATTTCACTTCCTAGAATGGTTTATAAGAGCACAGACTTGGAGCCCCTCATCTGCTGTGGGCTGAGTTCTGTGGTTCTAGCTCATCTTCTCTGGGAGGTTGATGGCCATGAATGAATTTCTTTCTCCTTAACTTTAAAAGGGTGGAGAGTGCAGGTACCATGCTGAGATTGCTGCAGCTAATGTCAGTGACTTTGTGCAAGTCCCAGGATGCGAGGAAGCCCTTATGAAGGCAGTGGCTAAGGTGGGGCCCATCTCTGTGGCAGTTGATGCCAGCCATAGCTCCTTTCGGTTCTATGAGAATGGTGAGTGTCTTCCTTCTAGAGATCCCTGCATAAAAGTTGCACTGCCACCATGACAAATCAAGATCATGACTTCTTTCTTTTTTTTTTTTCTTTTTTCTTTTTTTTTTTTTTTTTTTTTTTTTTTTTTTTTTTTTTTTTTTTTTTTTTTTTTTTTTTTTTTTGGTTTTTTCGAGACAGGGTTTCTCTGTGGTTTTGGAGCCTGTCCTGGAACTCGCTCTTGTAGACCAGGCTGGTCTCGAACTCACAGAGATCCGTCTGCCTCTGCCTCCCGAGTGCTGGGATTAAATGACTTCTTTCTTACATAGCATTAAATGTAAATGTTCCCATTTGTGAATTTTACAATCTCTGTGAAAAATTTTATGTAAATTTTCCTATTTTGCATTACTTTAAAAAAAAACCAATTTCGTGAATGAGAACCAATTAATGTTTTCTTAAAGTTAGCCTGATGTTTCATGTGGTAAAATTTACTTGAATTTTCTCCAGCTGTTTGACCTTTAAGATTCTAACCAGATATTTTATTTATGTAGAAAATTATTATGAGGGACCTGTCAATTCTATTAATTTTGTTTTCTGTGGGTTTTGCCTGAACTAACCTACAAGTAAATCAATAAGATTTCTCGTATGCATCCAAACAACCATTTTACCAAAGGATTTATGCTATTTTTTTTCTGGTTCATTTACCTGAGAGCTTCCAGTCTTGGCCCTGAAAACAATGAAACCTCTTGTTTAGTCCTACGCCGTGTGTCTGTCATTCCAGTGAGCTTAGAAATGTTTCTCTTATTGCTGGTACTGTGACATGGTACTGTGAGGTCACTGGAGCCTCTCAATCCAACTTTGGTTTTACTTTTTTAGGCACTTATTATGAGCCACAGTGCAGAAAGGTTCACCTAAATCATGCTGTTCTGGTGGTCGGCTATGGCTTTGAAGGAGAAGAGTCAAATGGCAACAGCTACTGGCTGGTCAAGAACAGGTATAAATTTCAGAAAACATTTATATTTGAAATTCAAAAGGGAACTACTGTAGTCAGTATTTGGATAGATGGACCAGTGGTTCCGCACCACGTGTAGGTAGAAGACAACCTGTCCTTTCTATGCAGTGGTTTTCAGAGCCTGTGTAATTCAACTACTGGTATCCAGGAGATGAACCTCTGTGTCTTCTGAACCTTTCCATTAAGTGTGGTTTCTGACGTGGTGCTTATGGGAGGTTAAAGCGATGAACCCACTGTGTTGTGCTCTTTCTGTTAAATGACAGACATGCTCTTCTTCCAGCTGGGGTGAAGAATGGGGCATGAAAGGCTACGTGAAGATGGCCAAGGACTGGAACAATAACTGTGGAATCGCTACCTATGCCACCTACCCCATCGTGTGAGCTGCCTATGCCACCTACCCCATTGTGTGAGCTGCTGGGGGCAAGAAGGAAGGCGAGGACCGGGCACAGCATGTGCTGAGGAGGGCGTCCCGCTTGACAGACCAGCTGCTGCTGTGTGGAGAATGACACCTGAGTCACCGAAGACCCATCCACGTTTGATGTGAACTAAATTCATAAATATTAGTGACATAAACAGCTTTGTAGCAGTGAATCTCTTATAAAAATTTGAATTTTCATTTTTAAAAGAATGTACAAATTTACATGTTCAAAGATAAAGCTTAGTTTCAAAATGATAGTGGGAATTCTTTTTATAGTTCAACCCTTAATTATGAGGACATAATTGTGTGTGTGTGTGTGTGTGAGAGAGAGAGAGAGAGAGAGAGAGAGAGATTCAGTTAATGATGCTGAAGGAAGAAAAGAAATCAATGTGTCCATACGGAAACTCTTACAATGTTGTCCATTTTAATGGGTGTTCCCATTCTGTAAGAACAGGTCCTGCTGGTACCTGAGCATTCGTCATGATAAGGAACATTGTCTGTGGCCTCCAAGAGCAAATGCCTCTTGCCTGGCCAGGGTTTGGAGCACAGTGAAGTACCCATTTTGCCTTGCCATAGTTTTATGAAATGAGAGTGTTCCTTGCAATCCACAGATGAAGAAGTAGTATACTTTGTGCGATCAATCCGATGCGGAATTACTCAGTGCTTTGTAGCTGGAGGGCTGGGCCCATTAGAACAGACTCAGTATAGACATGAGAATGCACAGAGAGAGGGCAGACCTGAGCTGTTCCAGGCCCATCTCCCTCCATCTCTGGCCACATGTGTCTCTTTAACATGTACCTTTAACATATGTGGACATCTTGTTGCGAGTAGAAAGACAATGCTGTGTTTTGCTCAATTGTACTGAGTGAGTCAACATCTTAATTCACAGGAGTCAGCAAGTGGCAAGTGCTCTACGACATTTAATTGGTTTATCTTTGCTTGCAGTGTTGTGGGAACGTGATGCCAATTCCAGAAAATAGAGACAACACAGTTAGAGTAGTTGTCAATTCCTTCTTAACTACTGGCTCTCACTTTTGAAGTGAAGGCCAGGAATCCTTAAGATGAAAAACATGAATAGGTATGTTCACCTACCCAGTGTATCTGAGTTCTGGAGACAAGCTCAGAAAGAATTCAAGGAAGCCTCCTAAGTACTGAACTGAGAGACAATTTTATGACAAAGCTGTGATGGTGAACTTTATGTTTAAATGATAATTTACTGTGCTAGACAACTTGTAAAAACAAAATTGTATTTAGCTTACGAGCCATGTGGAAGATGCTGCTATCTCGAGAAAAACGTACCCTATCAGCTACCTTACCCAAATTGGACGACTTCCCCGGCAGTTGGACTATTCTTAAAACCTACTGACTGTTGTAAAATCTTCCAGTGCCTCAGCTACTCTTACAAGATAATGGGCCACATGACTAACAGGCTAACTGCTAAGGTCTACTTTTGTATGAAAGCTTGCTTGCTCAGAATAACTGAGGAACCTGCCTGAAACCTGTTTAAAATAATTAAGCTCTGTCTTCCCCTAAACAGAATATGCGTCAACTTGACCCTTGAACTGCAATTTGTTGGGTTTTACCTTTAAAGTCCTTGAACTAACAATAGCTGAGGCCTAACCTAGAGAATTTTGAGTCTCTGGTAAAAATCCTAGCCAGTATTTTTAATAAAAACCATCTTCTTATTAAAGTCATATTTATTGTCAGATTGGGAAATCTCTGAACGACCCCACACTCATAACAAGCAAAGCACTCAATCCAGGACTGGGTGTGGAGTCCTCAAGAGAGACTCACCATCACAGGGTGTTCTTGAAGGACTTTGCACTAAATGTTGCACACCGCCATGTCCCACCGTGATGACAATGGACCGAAAGAATGGACCTGTAAGCCACACCACTTACATTAATAAATAAATGTTTTATTTATTAATAACCAGATATTATATATATATATCCTGACACATGTCTTGGTTCTGTATGACATGTGTATGGAAAGATGTCTGTCCATCCTTTGCTCTGATTTTCATGGTCCTGTGTGAGGTCATTGTTGGTCTTAGGAGCTGAGTTTGTCTTCTCAGTTAAATGTGGCCTGTATCTTGGGGTTTAAGCGGGGTTAACATCATCAAACTGCTATGATGTGTTCTCTCTACTAAATGGAAAACGTGCTCCTCTTCCTGCTGAGGTGAAGAATGGGGCACGGAGGGCTAGATGAAGATTACCAAAAACTGGGAGGCCACTGTGGAGTTGCTCCATACGCCTGATGGTGACTCCTGGGGACCACATGTACAGAGAGGGCCTTTGACTTCACAGCAGGCACCTTGGCTGTGAGGGATACAACACCTGATTCTCTGAATATCTAAATGCAGGTGTGAATTCCAGGACATGTTTTACTCTAATTAAATATGAATCAGCTGCTATCGACAGTTTTATGGGAATGAATCCCCGAGGGAAGGGTTTTGCTGACTGGTAAAGGTTGCAGTTTCCCACGGGCTGGCGGCTTATCGCAACAGCTATGCAACAAGCAAACTCCTTCCCTCCCAAGAAAAACTTCTGCCTCTACCTGCCCTTAGTATAATATCCCTGTATCTGGAAGACTGACCTTATCTGGAAGCTGTCTGTAAACCAGATGCCCCGATTAATCTTTAGCTTGAACCCTGGCACAGTTTTCCAGTGGAAGAGCTTTGCTAGGAGCTGGGGCTATAGGGCCCTACTGCCACGTATGAAGTCTGGTGATGGGAGTGTGCCACTCAGTGCAAATTACGGTTTGTCCCCAGACTCCCCGCTCCCATATGCTCCTTATATTCTGAAATAAAGTTGAGCTGTTTCCCCCTAAAGCAATCTCCTAGAGGGCTGTCTCCATTCCTGGTCAAAGCTTCCTGTTGCCACTTTTGCCCTTTCCCCTCTAGGACCGATGACCAACAGGCCAAGAAGGAAAAAAGGACTCTCACAGATCCCCTAAACGTTCTGAATTTCTGTTTTTAAAGGATATCCAGGATTAGATCTCTGTAGTGAGGTGACACATTGTTCTGTTTCTTTGCATTGTACCTGAGCTATGAATCTTGCTTTATCAAGCACATCAGCATTGTGTACACAATGCATGTGGCCATGCAAAAGTCATGTGATCATCTCTGTGGCCGGAGGACAGCAGTAACACCTGGATAACACAACAGCATCCTACCATGTAAGAGCAGTGACACCTGCCTTGCTATAGCAGGCTGTTGGCAAACATGTCCTATTTTCATATGGTTTACTCTAGTTATCCTTAGCATGCCAAATGAATATGCTAAACATATCATAGGTACAGAAAAATACTAGCAAACATTAGTATGTGTATCTATAAATTGGTACATATGTGTTTATATTGCATATGTGCACATATATACATATTAATGCTACCAATAGTTCATAGGCCTTACAATGGATCTCCGAGGATAAGAAAGAGCCATCAATGCAAACATTATGCAGCTGTCCAGCGATCGTGTATTTATCATATCCCCTTTGGAACAAAAGCTGTCATATAAGGTCCACACAGGGCTGAGCTGGGTAGAACCAAACATCTGGCTCTTTGCAGAAACGATTGTGGGGCCCTGGTGTGCATGCCGTGCACTGGTAGGGTGAGGTGAGATTTGGGGTTGGCTAGGGGTGCGTTACCACACACTGACCAGGAGGCTCCCGTGGTGCAATGCAGGAACCAGCCAGTCAGAGGGGGCACTGGGGAAGGAAGAAAAGAGAGCAGGGACAACGGGCCTGAGGAAGTGGAAGCTGACTTTTGTCCATGGGAGAGAAAGACAGAATGGTGGCCATGCAGGACCAGAACTCGGGCATGGAGGTGCTGATGGTGAGTTCCACACAATGAGGCAAGCACAGCTCACAGGTCTGTGGGAGAAGCCAGGTTGGTGCAGGCCTCTGAGGAAGTAAAATGTGAGGCTTGCCTTAAGTTCCCTCCATCAAACCGGTTGCTCAGGCACAGAGGCCCTGCTATCCGGAGTCACTGACACAGGATGTGCTGGATTGGCTAGGGCTGTGTAGAATCAGCTACTGGCTGAGCCTTGTGAAGAAAATGGCAGCTGGCAGCACTGAACAAGCTCCCAAGCAAGCGCTTCAAGTTCTCCAGAAAGTGCGTGTGTGTCCTTCATGTCTGCCTTCACAGCAGCCTTGAAGATCCGGCTCATAATTCTGCACTCCCAGGTGCTGGGAGTTGCTTTCTCTTCTTCACCTGATCCACGCCCAATCTTATGAAACCCCTGACATTCTATGTGTCCCAATCACACTTATAAACCCAGGGTAAACATACTGAGAAGCTTGCATGGTCTGAAAACAATTCTGTAGCCGCTACTCTATCTCACCAGCCCCCTAAGGGTGTTTGACAAACTCCCACCACGGAGGAAATGGACTGGGGCCACCTTGCAGCAGGGCTCTTCTTAAGGTGGCCTGGTAGATTTTGTTATACAGAGATCATGAGTGGACTCTGTGCTGTTCCCCACAAAAATAACACCCAACCACCTTCTAGAACTGCATCCTTGGCTTGTACTGGAGAATCCAAACTCAGACCATTGGCTTGGTGAAGCCTGCTTTTCCCTGAAGAGGCTGCTGGACCCTCGCATCCTGCTCCTCCATCTAGTGGTGAACAGTGAAATCACACCTGATCTTCCACCAAATAAGGACCGATTTCAGAGACTCCAGCAGGCAGTGGAGGCCTGTGCGGTGTTGTCTAGACGCTCCAGAGTTCCCAGAGAACAGGAGGGATCTTTTGCAAAATGATCCTCGACTTCCTCAGAAGTGAGAGATATTTTGCTTTGCTTTTTCTTGTCTCTGGAGATGACTATGTCTTCAGCCAATCTCCATAAAAATCCTCCTCCTCCTGGCTTAGACTCCCCAAAAACCACAGATAAAACAGACTGGTCATCCAGACAAAAACTAGACAAAGAAATTTGGAATTAACTAACATCATAAACCAAATGGATCAGGTATTTACATCACCCAAGCACAGTGGAATATATCTTCTCAGCAGTTCATGGAATCTTCTCCAAAGTTTACCACAGTCAGACACAAGGCAAGTCCCAACAGATGCAAGGAATTTGAAATTTTAAAAAATGAAAACACAATATGCTCAAACTTATATGACACAAAGGCAGCTCTAAGAGAAAAG